GGAGAGAGGAAGGAAGGAAAGAGAGAGGGAGAGAAAGAAGGGAGAGAGGAAGGAAGGAAAGAGAGAGAAGGAGAGTAAAGAAGGGAGAAAGGAAGGAAGGAAGGAAGGAGAGAGGGAGAGTAAAGAAGGGAGAAAGGAAGGAGAGAGGAGAGTAAAGAAGGAAAAGGAAGAAACGAAGGAAGGAAGGAGAGGGAGAGTAAAGAAGGGGAGAAAGGAAGGAAGGAAGGAGTAAAGAAGGAAGGAAGGAAGAGGGGAAATAAACACCCAAACATACTTTATCATCTTACAGTTATCGACAACACACTCCCTGGGGTATAAATTTCACGCCGACACTATGAAATATCTACCCCCAAGCCCTGCCAAGCAACAGATAGCTAGAATACTTCTTGTGGAGAGAGCGTGAAATGTATACCCCCCCCCTGAGCGTGAGATACAGTATATGCAATACCTATGATGTGATATATGTACCTCCGCCTAGTGAGATATTTGTACAATTCCTCAGTGTGAAGTACGTATCCCCGAGCGTGAAATACCCGGACGTTAAATACATCCCCTAGCGTTAAATACATCTCTCTGGCGTGAAATACATACCTAGCGTTAAATACATACCCCTAGCGTTAAATACATCCCTCGCGTTAAAATACATCCCCTAGCGTTAAATACATCCCCTAGCGTTAAATACATCCCCTAGCGTTAAATATATCCCTAGCGTTAAATACATCCTAGCGTTAAATACATCCCCTATCGTTAAATACATCCCCTAGCGTTAAATATATCCCCAGCCGTTAAATACATCCCCTAGTGTTAAATACATCCCCTAGCATTAAATACATCCCCAGCGTTAAATACATCCCCTGTCGTTAAATACATCCTCTAGCGTTAAATACATCCCCCTAGCATTAAATACATCCCCTGGCGAAATACATCCCTAGCGTTAAACACATCCCCTGGCGTTAAATACATCCCCTAGCGTTAAATACATCCCTCGCGTTAAATACATCCTAGCGTAAAATACCCTGGCGTGAAATACATCCCCTAGCGTTAAATATATCCCCAGCATTAAATACATCCCCTAGCGTTAAATACATCCCCCTATCGTTAAATACATCCCTAGCGTTAAATATATCCCCAAGCGTTAAATACATCCCCTCACGTTAAATACATCCTCTAGCGTTAAATACATCCCCTAGCGTTAAATACATCCCCCTAGCGTTAAATACATCCCCTCAGCGTTAAATACATCCTAGCAAATACATCCCAGCGTTAAATACACCCCTATCGTTAAATACATCCCCTAGCGTTAAATACATCCCCTAGCGTTAAATACATCCCCTAGCGTTAAATATCCTCCCTGGCGTTAAATACATCCCCTAGCGTTAAATACATCCCCAGCGTTAAATACATTGGCGTTAAATACATCCCCTAGCGTTAAATACATCCCCTAGCGTTAAATACATATCCCCTAGCGTTAAATACATCCCCTAGCGTTAAATACATCCCCTAGCGTTAAATACATCCCCCCTAGCGTTAAATACATCCCCTAGCGTTAAATATATCCCCAGCTGTTAAATACATCCTAGCGTTAAATACATCCCCAGCGTAAATACATCCCCTAGCGTTAAATACATCCTAGCGTTAAATACATCCCTAGCGTTAAATACATCCCCTAGCGTTAAATACATCCCTAGCGTTAATACATCCCCTAGCGTTAAATACACCCCCTAGCGTTAAATACATCCTAGCGTTAAATACATCCCCAGCGTTAAATACACCCCTCAGCGTTAAATACATCCCCTAGCGTTAAATACATCCCCTAGCGTTAAATACATCCCCAGCGTTAAATACACCTCTCAGCGTTAAATACATCCTCTAACGTTAAATACATCCCCTAGCGTTAAATACACCCCCAGCGTTAAATACATCCCCTAGCGTTAAATACACCCCCTAGCGTTAAATACATCCCCTACCGAAATACATCCCCTACCGTTAAATACATCCCCTAGTTAAATACATCCCTCACCGTTAAATACATCCCCTACCGTTAAATACAATCCCCTAGCGTTAAATACACCCCCAAGCGTTAATACATCCTGGCGTTAAATACATCCTCTAGCGTTAAATACATCCCCTAGGTTAAATACACCCCCTAGCGTTAAATACATCCCCTGGCGTTAAATACATCCCCTAGCGTTAAATACATCCCTAGCGTTAAATACATCCCTTGCTCTTAGTCCCCGGCGGAGATTGTGTCTAGAAGCGCACAGTTACATGAGACACAGACACCTCCACCTCCCCAGCAACCCTCCTCGTGGAATACGTACTCTGTTATGTGATATCTCTCTCTCTCTCTCTCTATTTTAATTTTGCCTCTTTCGTGTGTGTGTGTGTGTGTGTGTGTGTGTGTGTGTGTGTGTGTCCTCAGCGTCCCTTAAGTCGCCCTTAACAATAGACACAGCGGGGCAGAGAAATAACGTTCTCCGGCTTTTCCTCCCGGCTTCCTTATGGCTCGTTATGCTTCCTTGGTGCTCCTGAGGCCTTGGTGCTCCTGGAGGCTTCATTGATGCTTCTGAGGCTTTCTTTGATGTTCCTGAGGCTTTATTGATGCTCCTGAGGCTTCCTTTGACTCTTGAGGCTTCTCTGGGGCTCCTAAGGCTTCTTTGAGGCTCCTGAGGCTTCATTGCGTCTGCTGAGAGTTCGTTGAGGCTCCTAGACTTCCTTGAGGCTCCTGTGACTGGTATATTAGGTTACATATTGCTGTAGTTTCTGTAAATGTCTTTGGCAGATGTTAGGTATTATAAGGTATTCTTGTGAACTATTTACACCCAAACATCAACTATATATAATGTTAAAACATGTGTCGTTCACTTGGGAGTTTGAGACACAACAATAACTCAACCTAATTGATCTGATAATTGAAAAGTCACTTATTTTTTTGTTCTTTTTTCTTCACCAAAGTGACTGACGGAACAATTAATGATAATTGTAATCAAATTGGATCCAAGTGGTGCTTCGCCATCACCTGAAAGAGCGAGAATAATGGGGCTACTTGTGCTGTCTAGTCAAGCTTACGGTGCTGTTAAGCTTACGATACAGTCAAGCTTACGATACTGTTGCTTTACAGTACTGTCAAGCTTACCATACCATCAAGCTTAAGATATCGTCAAGCTTACGGTACTGTTAAGCTCACGGTACGATTAAACTTACGGTACCATTAAGCTTGAAAGATGCAGATAGGTTTTGTTGTGTTCCTAACCGGGAGAACACTACTTTATACAGCAGCGGCTCCTCTCTTACAGGACGCTTCAGTCACAGTCGTCTTATTACTGTGAGTGAGATACAGTTTGAACAATAAACACTACATACATACATACATACATACATACATACATACATACATACATACATACATACATACATACATGTCCCACATAATCAGGGATACATAATGTTGAGGGCCACACACACACACACACACACACACACACACACACACACACACACACACACACACACAACACACACACACACACACACAATCAGGGGCCCATTGGTGAGGCCACACACATAGTCAGGGGCCCCACAATGTCAGCTGGAATCATCGGGTATAGCAATAATGGTCCCATAAACTAGGAAAAGTGTCGCGTGTTTGTATTGGCGCGACGACTGTACTGTACTGTTTTATCTATTGGCGCAACACTTCACAGCTGGACAAGTGTTCCCCAAAAATAGTCTTGCTTCTAAAATTGGTTGTGTTGTGTGTGTGTGTGTGTGTGTGTGTGTGTGTGTGTGTGTGTGTGTGTGTGTGTGTGTGTGTGTGTGTGTGTGTGGTGCCTTAAAGTTTTGTTTTGAGGCATTAAGCAGGTGTTTGGGGCCTCTAAAGCTGGATGTCTCTAAAGCTGCTTTCTACTATATATCTCGGGGTGTATTTAAAGCTGGAGGTCTGTCTTTAAGCTGGGGGGTCTGTTTTTAAGCTGGAGGTCTGTCTTTAAGCTGGGGGTCTGTTTTTGCAGCATGGGAGGAGGAAGAAACGGAGGAAAGGGGGATTAGAAGGAGGAGGAAGATGATGGGTGTGGGAGGAGGAGGAGGAGGAGGAGGAGGCAGACGATAGGAAGATGAGGGGCGGAGAAGAGGAGGAGGAAGAAGATAGGAGGAGAAGGAAGAGGAGGATGGCTTAAGAAATGCTTTGCTCAGGCCTTAACAGAATCGGCTTGAGGCACATCCATCACGCTCTGTGTCAACGGGGGGGGGAGACAATGAGGGAGGGAAGGACGGAGGAGGGGAGGAGCAATGCAATGAAGGATGAGGTAAGGAGACAATGAAGAAGGAGGGAGGGAGATTTGGATACAGGGAGAGGAGGAGAGGACATTGAGCTAAGAAGGGAGAGAAAGAGAGAGAGAGAGAGAGAGAGAGAGAGAGAGAGAGAGAGAGAGAGAGAGAGAGAGAGAGAGAATAAGATTACTCTCGGAAATTGAATAAGAGAAAATGAGGGAAGGAGGAGGAAGGGGTGGGAGGAGGAGGGAGGGAAAGGAAGGAAATGGGAAAAGAGTGAGACCAGATAATGAGAGAGAGGGAGAGAAAAGAGAGAAAAGAAGATTGGATTTTCAGAAAATGTAAGAGTGATTGAACGAGCGAATGAGGAAGAGAATGAAAGAAAGAAAGAAAGAAAGAAAGAAAGAAAGAAAGAAAGAAAGAAAGAAAGAAAGAATGAGACACCCACCATCATCAATCGCTGCTCAGGTAAAAAATATTTTCACTCACAAATCAAAGACGTTCTTCACCTGAAACATATTTCCAGATGACAACAAACCAATTTAATCAAGAGATGTTTACCTGTGTCTCTGCAACAGGTGATCTCCCGCAGAAGGTCAAAGGCTTTGGTGGTGTCTCTCTCTCTCATCAAACGTCAGGTACAGTAAATGCTCAGGTGGTGACTCCATCTTAAGCTTAAGGTGTGTTGAATATGACTGGCTAATTGTTTTTATTTATGTACTTTTCTACAGGTGTGTGCAGGTGTGTCCAACAGGTGTGGGCAGACGGCAGTGATGTGGAGGACGGTGTGGGTGAGTTAGACCTCTCTGAGCAGCCCACGTCAGCCCACGACAACTCAAGTCATCTCTATCTCAGCTAGACCCAAGCCCACGACACCCCACATCATCCCACACTACCCTTCGTCAGCCCACGTCAGTCCCAGGCCAACTAGACCCCAACTCAGCCCATCTCACCATAACCCGTCATCAACAACACATGCACCAGCCCACTGTCTAAAGCCCATGACCTCTCTGAAGCGGGGAGAGGCAGTGAGAGGTGAGGGGTGGTGAGCGGTGAGGTGGGTGGTGAGCGGTGAGGTGGGTGGTGAGTTGGGTGGTAGTGGTGAGCAGCGCCTGCGTGGGGGCGTGGGGGCGGGTGGTGGTGGTGGTAGCAGCGTGGCGTGGGGTGGGCGGCGGGGACCACACAAGACCACCACCACAACAGCAGGCGTCAGAACAAACGTGGTGGCGGAGGTGCCTGGCCTGGATGTGGGTGAGTATGTGGTGTTGATGACTCATACTCATCCTAATACTGCTACTCGTCATCCCTATTAGGTTCACTGATACTCATAACGTCATACTACTACCTCACCCTCATACTCCTCATGTTCCCTCATACTCTTCATGTTCCCTCATACTCCTTGTGTACCCTCATACTTCTCATACTCGTCTCTAATATTTTTCAGATAAGTTTTAATTTGGTTTAATTCCATTTAAAAGTAACAAAGTTTCTGAGGTAGGGGAGTGTGGTTGTGTGTGTGTGTAAAACAGAATGAAAAAAATATGTATTACTCAAAAGGACGTTTATTACAGCACCCCAAAAGATTTTATTTTCGTCACACACACACACACACACACACACACACACACACACACACACACACACACACACACACACACACACACCGCATGTATATGGGCAGTAATTTGTCCTATCTGTTTAAGGGTTGAGAGAAAGGAGGGAGGGAAGGGGTGGAGGGATGGTTGGGTTAAGGTGGTTGAGGGTGGGTTGGTGGTAGGGGGTAGGATGGACGTGGGTTAGAGGGGGGTTGAGAGTGGGTTATGGTAGGGGTGAAGGATGCGTGGGTTAGGAGGTGGGGTTGAGGTGGGTTATGGTAGGGGGTGGAAGGATGGCGTGGGGGTTAGAGGGGGGGTTGAGGGTGGGTTGATGGTAGGGGTGTGGAAGGATGCGTGGGTTAGAGGAGGGGGGTTGAGGGTGGGTGGTAGGGTGGGAAGGATGCGGGTGGGTTAGAGGAGGGGGGTTGAAGGTGGGTTGGTGTAGTGGAAGGATGCGTGGTTAGAGGGGGTTGAGGGTGGGTTATGGTAGGGTGTGAAGGATGGCGTGGGTTGAGGGTGGGTTGGTGGTAGGTGAAGGATGCGGGGGTTAGGGGGGTTGAGGGTGGGTTATGGTAGGGTGTGGAAGGATGCGGCGGGGTTAGGGGGGGTTGAGGGTGGGTTATGGTAGGGGTGGAAGGATGGCGTGGGTTAGAGGGGGGTTGAGGTGGGTTGGTGGTAGGTGGGAAGGATGCGGGTGGGTTAGGGGGGTTGAGGTGGGTTATGGTAGGGTGGATGACGTGGGTTAGAGGGGGGGTTGAGGGTGGAGAGGGGGGAAGGATGCAGTGGTTAGGGGGGGTTGAGGTGGGAGGTAGGGGTGGAAGGATGCATGGGGTTAGAGGGTTGAGGGTGGAGGTAGGGTGTGGAAGGATGGTGGGTTAGGGGGTTGAGGGTGGGTGGTAGGTGGAAGGATGCGGCGTGGGTTAGAGGGGGTTGAGGGTGGGTTATGGTAGGGGTGGAAGGATGCGGCGTGGGTTAGTTGAGGGGGTTATGGTAGGGGTGGAAGGACGGGTGGGTTAGAGGTGGGGGTTGAGGGTGGGTTATGGTAGGGTGTAGGATGCGGGGTTAGGGGGTTGAGGGTGGGTTATGGTAGGGGGTTAAGGGTGGGTTATATTTCCATGATGATCTGAAATACAGTACCATGTATGTATATGTATTATGTATGTTTTTGTATTGAGATGAGTGAAGGGACCTCTCTCTCTCTCTCTCTCTCTCACGTTAGCCGATAGAAACCTGTCGAACTGTGAGATAGTGACCCACCTATAGAGAGAGAGAGAGAGAGGGGAAAAAGAGAGAGATAGAAAAAGAGGGAAGGAAGGAAGGGAGGATAGCGAGAGAATGGAGATATATAGGAAGAGAGAAAGAGAGAGAAGGGAGAGAGAGAGGGGATTAGTAAAACAGGAAGTGTATTCTAGGAATTTCATTTAATTTATTATTATTTCAATTCTACCTCACACACACACACACACACACACACACACACACACAAAACACAACACACACACACACACACACACACACACACAAAACTATATTTCCAAAATCAAGACGAAAACATCCATAAAATAGTATATATATATATTTTTTTTGTCAATATCGGTTGACTGCAGCCCTGCGAGTTACGCCTAAGTATCGACATGTTTGTGGCGTGTTGGCGTCAGCTGATCACACGTAAACAAACCTTGGCTCAGCTGGTCACAAGGTCCTGTTTCCCGCGCTGGTCTCCCTCGCTGCTCGTGGAGGAAATATTACACTCTCGTAAAATTATTATGTTTTAATATTTGCTCCCTCTTCTACTCTTATGTTTATGTTAACTTGACGCAAATTGTTTTACAGTGAGGCAGAGTCCTTGTGAATATATAATATTTCTCTGTTTATTTCGGGATACTGTGTTTAAATGTTTAGTTGATGTAAATTGGTGTGTGTGTGTGTGTGTGTGTGTGTGTGTGTGTGTGTGTGTGTGTGTGTGTGTGTGTACAAGCTTGTGCCGTTATTATTTTAATATTTACTTTGAGAATTTCTGGAAGGTTATGTTAGTTTATTGTTAGTATTTTTGATCATGTTAAAATTCGTCGTTAAGAATTGTTCTATATAAAATAACCTTGTAAATTTACACTATGTTAATGATTGTTTCATATGAACTGTTTTGTGATGTTACAAAATATATGTTCTATGTTAATATGTTCTATGTTACAATATACCAGTTTTATATTAACAAAACTTAACCTAACACCTTGTTCTGCTTTACGTTAATATTAACTTAATGTATCCCTTGCTTAAATACATCGTGTTAAATTGGTCTATATATAACATTGTTAATAATATTCTCATATTCACTGCAGCTCCAGGATAATGTTAACACGGGAGTAATTAACTCATCCGTTAAAATATACACGTGCATGATATACTAACACACTGTGGCTGATGTTAAATATTTTAGTGTTCATTAAAGACTTATTATATCACTTAAATTTAATATAATTATATATATTTCTTGATACAAGTACAGTATATCTGCCTTATTACGTGCATATCTACCTTATTACGTGCATATCTGCCTTATTATGCATATTCACCTTATTACGTGCATATTCGCTTTATTACGTGCATATCTGCCTTATTATGCATATCTGCTTTATTACGCATATTTGCCTTATTACGCATATTTGCCTTATTACGCATATTTGCCTTATTACGCATATTTGCCTTATTACGTGCATATCTGTCTTATTACGTGCATATCTGCCTTATTACTGCATATTCGCCTTATTACGTGCAAATCTGCTTATTACGTGCAAATCTGCCTTATTACGTGCAAATCTGCCTTATTACGTGCATATCTGCCTTATTACGTGCATATCTGCCTTATTACGTGCAAATCTGCCTTATTACGCGCATATCTGCCTTCATACACGAATATATTCATTAATTCGGTATATTCGCTTAATCTCGTAAATATGCTGAGCGCTTCGCTAAATTCCATTACGTTAAATTGTCGTGCACACACTTGTAGTCTTGTTAAATTATCATTTTTCAACACCGCCGCTTGACTGTGGGGCTGTTAGTGTGTTGTTAACATCCTCAATCAATGTTAAATTAGGTTAAATGTCTTTGGTAACTTATGTCTCAGTGTTAATATCCTCAAACAATGTTAAGTTAAATACCTCTGTTAACTTATATCTCAACGTTAATATTCTCACTCATGATGTTAAATTACGTAAAATTCTTCTATATGTTAAGTTAAAATGTTAGTTTCATCGCTGTAACAACGTCCTATTATTAACTGGTATTGTAATTTGTCCTCCTGTAACCCGGGTGTATTATAGATAGATAGATAGATAGACATAGATAGAGATAGATAGATAGATAGATAGATAGATAGATAGATAAACATAGATAGAGATAGATAGATAGATAGATAAATAGATAGATAGACAGACAGGTACAGGTCCCTCAGGTAACGGCCTTGTGTCCTGAAACAAATACAGCTGATTGGGTCGACGAACGTGTGTGTGTGTGTGTGTGTGTGTGTGTGTGTGTGTGTGTGTGTGTGTGTGTGTGTGTGTGTGTGTGTGTGTGTGTGTGTGTGTGTGTGTGTGTGTGTGTGTGGTGTGTGTGTGTGTGTGTGTGTGTGTTGAGATAAATATTAACCCTTCATATATACTAACTCTCTCTAACACACACACACACACACACACACACACACACTTACATCATCTCACCTGTTTACTGCACATCGATATACTGTCACTGTGTACTGTCAGGTAGTGTCAGCTGTGTACTGTCAGGTAGTGTCAGCTGTGTACTGTCAGGTAGTGTCAGCTGTGTACTGTCAGGTAGTGTCAGTGTGTACTGTCAGGTAGTGTCAGCTGTACTGTCAGGTAGTGTCAGCTGTGTACTGTCGTAGTGTCAGTGTACTGTCTGTCAGCTGTGTACTGTCAGGTAGTGTCAGCTGTGTACTGTCAGGTAGTGTCAGCTGTGTACTGTCAGGTAGTGTCAGCTGTGTACTGTCAGGTAGTGTCAGCTGTGTACTGTCAGGTGTGTCAGCTGTGTACTGTCAGGTAGTGTCAGCTGTGTACTGTCAGGTAGTGTCAGCTGTGTACTGTCAGGTAGTGTCAGCTGTGTACTGTCAGGTAGTGTCAGCTGTACTGTCAGGTAGTGTCAGCTGTGTACTGTCAGTAGTGTCAGCTGTGTACTGTAGGTAGTGTCAGCTGACTGTCAGGTAGTGTCAGCTGTGTACTGTCAGGTAGTGTCAGCTGTGTACTGTCAGGTATCAGCTGTGTACTGTCAAGTAGTGTCAGCTGTGTACTGTCAGGTAGTGTCAGCTGTGTACTGTCAGGTAGTGTCAGCTGTGTACTGTCAGGTAGTGTCAGCTGTGTACTGTCAGGTAGTGTCAGCTGTGTACTGTCAGGTAGTGTCAGCTGTGTACTGTCAGGTAGTGTCAGCTGTGTACTGTCAGGTAGTGTCAGCTGTGTACTGTCAGGCAGTGTCAGCTGTACTGTCAGGTGTGTCAGCTGTGTACTGTCAGGTAGTGTCAGCTGTGTACTGTCAGGTAGTGTCAGCTGTGTACTGTCAGGTAGTGTCAGCTGTGTACTGTCAGGTAGTGTCAGCTGTGTACTGTCAGGTAGTGTCAGCTCACCTGGTAAATGATTATCGAGA